GTGAATTTCATAAGAAATCATTAAAGTATAGATATTTATAGCTAGACGATCTTGACCTAGACATGTTACAATATTGCATGAGGTTATATGGCCCTTAAGCCCTGTGCTCCAAAACCTTAGATCTCTGGTATACCAGGTCAGTGTTCTTTCTGTTCCGCTTCAGCCCTGCTTTGGGCGGCCGCATCAAGAATCAACAGGGTTTCTCCCTTCAGTGGAAACAGGGTCACAAGCCACCAGGTGGCAGTGGTTGTTAAAAGTGGATACAAGTCAAGACTATTCTGTACTCATTGTTCCTCTTTTCATTCGGGCCATATTTGAAGAACTTTTACATGTTCTAAAGGTTCATCTAAAACTACCCAGCCAGAACTTTCTTTTCTATGGGCAGTGCCATTCTCTTAATTTCCCAAGTTAGGAATTTTAAATTATATTTCACCTTCTAATTCCTTAATTGCTATTATCCAATTAATCTTTACTTCTTGATAAAACACTGTTGTTATCATACAAATCCTCTCAAATTCTCCCAATGGTTTCTTAGCTACTGAGCAGCATCTAAGCATTTCAGGCTAATAATCAGAACTCTAACAATCCATGCCCATTCACCTGTATATAACTGTGGAATCATATGGTATTGTGCTTAAAAGATGCTTAATAAAATTTGTTCTTTCACTGTTATTTGTATATAATTATAAATATGCAAATTTATACAAATGAAAATATAAGGGATATTGTCCTTCAGCCATTTTTATTACGGTTGGATCTCTCTGCAAATAATATACCCAAAGCGAGTAAGTCTTTCAGAGCTTACAAGCTGCTGAAGTATAAAGATTATATAAGATTTCAGTATCACCTCAGAATTTAACCACACACCTGTGGCAGGAGACTACACATCCTCCTGTGACAAGAAGTAGCTTTTTATTCCATCAGATAAACTAGTTTAGTTCATTCATATCCAGGAAACAAACTCACCAACTGATTTAAGATTTCATGCTGACAGTAATGATAATAAGAATTTCATCTTGCATGCATAGAAAGATTTATAAGTGCATAACATGATTTTACTTATTACATCACTTAAATTTATTATATTATTTGAGCCTTACAGGTATCACATGTGGTTGACAGAAAAGTGTTAGTTGTTCTATTTTACAGAAAAAAAAAGGAATTCAATTTTAGTGGAAAAAACGTATTTGCCCATGGTGACAAGGACAAGAAGTGGCAGAAATAATGACTTACACTGGATTTCCAGACCCCTGGTTACAAATATGAACTGGACAAACTTGTAATATTGGAGAAGAAGCAGGCAGTCACTTTGGCTCACTTTACTACTAGAATCTTCTACCCAAGTCTGGAAGAATAGTTCTGTCTTGGTATCTAGGGAAAGTCCAGAAAAATTAATGGAATGTGATGGACTAATGAACTTCTCTGCCACCCAGATGTAATTTCTAAACTTTTTTTTTTTTTTTTCAGAAACCTTGTTCATAATAAAGTATTAAGTCGATCTGCTCTGGTTGACAGAGAACCCAGAAAACTGCAAGTGTGGCTTACTCTGTTTTCTCTGTGTAGCTCCTGAAGTACCTGCAGAACCAGAAGATTCCAAGAAACACAGTCGGGGGGAGGAAAAAAAAAAAGCATTTGCAGGATTCAGAGGTCTTTCTTGACAAGCAACAGAAACTGGGTCTAGCTGATCTAGGCAAAAAAAAAAAAAAAAAAAAAGGACCTATCTTTACTTTAATCCTCTTGAGGACGTTGCTTCTCTCCCTGGGGCACCTGGAGAAGTGCTGCTTGCCCAGGAGCTCGCCGGAACTAAGCCACTGCTGCCACGGAACCATTTGGTAGTGGACCTGATTCTGCTGCTGCCCCAGAAAGTCATCCTTGTTGTCACGGCCACTGTCAGCAAAGAGAAATCTCTGTGACTCTTGCATCCTGGGGTCTCCGGTTCCCATTCAAAGTCCAGGAGTGTGTCTGATGGAAGCCCTGGTGCCCTTGCTCTAGCTGCGCGCGAAGCTGGTGAACCTGAGGGAAGGTGCAGCCCCCGGGGCAACTCATGGGCTGGGGACATCCCTGAACACAGAGCCTGGGCTCACCTCACTCGCAGCCGAAACGAGTCACCTTTGGTTCATATTTGTCATTCTCAAACCTAGCCACCCAGACGAATCACCTGGAGAGCTTCGAGGATAAATTCAGGGACAAAATACCACAGAGAGCAATTGGATCTGAATCCCTAGAGCTAGGGCCCAGGCATCCATACGTTTCTATCAGTTTCTCCTGGGGATGCTAGTACACAGTGAACGTGGAAAACCACTGGCTGCGATGGTCTCTAAAGTCGTTCTGGCTCTGTTTTTAAGATTTCATTACAAGCCCAGTGCTCTTTCCACAACGTTTTGCACATTTTACTTCTTAGGAAACTGAGTTCCTCACACCAAAATGGAGCAAACCCCAGGAATAATCATCCTAATTTTTGCCTCCCAGCCTGTCCCAGCTTCACAAGAGAAAATCTTTTCCCTGTTCTTAAGGCAGAAAGGTGGTTTTATAATGTCCTATTGCTACATACACCCCTGGTGGGCTGTCCATGTATCCAGAATTGTCTGACGTGAGATGCACTTTTCCTACAGAGCCAAGTTAGGAATTAGAGGGAGAGAGAAAAGTTCTTTCTCTGGCTTATGAAGGGAAGGGCAGCATAGCTTTTCTGGAATATAGTTATGGGCATTCCATAGCAGTCCAGTCCATCTATTAATTTAACTTCCATCATGTGCCAGGAAGTGTGAGAGGCACTGGGGGATCCAATCATCGCTCAAACACACACTTCCTTGCCCCCTTGGCATTTCAGCCTAATGAGGGAGATTTTTCACAAATGCATTGAAGGAAAAGATCTGTTATATCAGAGAATAACAGGCTGGAGGAGGCCAGGAAGGGGACTTGATTAAGGGGGTCGAGTACCACCCCTCTGTTGAAATGACTCTGGTGCTACTTGATGAGTTGGTATGGCTACATCAGATCTAGAAGGCAGCCACCAACAATATTCCCCATCTTTCCTTAAGTCAAAGGCAATTTCTTTTTCTCTACTTTAAAAAAGGAGATCAGGGGCACCTGGGTGGCTCAGTCATTAAGTGTCTGCCTTTGGCTCAGGTCATGATCCCAGAGTCCTGGGATCGAGCCCTGCATCAGGCTCCCTGCTCCTGGGGAGCCTGCTTTTCCCCTCTCCCACTCCCCCTGCTTGTGTTCCCTCTCTTGCTGTGTCTCTCTCTGTCAAATAAATAAATAAAATCTTAAAAAAAAAAAAAGAGATCAGACAACCAGATGGGCATTTGCTCAACTGGTTTGCTATTTATACTTTGAAACATATTGAGAAATACTGAATCCCCTATGGAAAGCAAAACATACAACATTTGGCAAAACCAGTCTCTTGAGGAAATTTCTCAGGAAGTGCTGGGGTCCATCGTTCTTGAACTGTGTCTGTTTAATAGGACTAGATTTATGCTTTCTTAGTTAGCACTTTCAAACCATTTGTGGAACAAGGCACAGAATAAATAGATATTAATCTCTAGTTATCTGCCTCCTGCCTCATAAAAGAAAACTGGTCTTACGTCTTCATCCTTGAATTGGTCAAATTTCTCTCCTTCAGCACTTGGGAGATGAGATCTCGGGCACTGTTTCCTGAGTTTAGATTTTCAATTTGATGCTGCCTGTTCTGGAGGTGGTCTTTGGCTTAAAGAACATTGTCCCTACCTATTTCTGTGGCTTTTCTAGATCAAACTGAAAGAGTAAGAGTGAGCCCAACAACCCAGAATTAGCTGCAACGCCATCCCTAAAAGACAAGCCCAGAGTGGAGATCACTGATTCACTTCCCACCCGTGCCCTTTGGGCAGCCAACCTCAAGGACTTCAAGGATTTCACTGGGTGTGACACGGCTGTCAGGAGCTCTGGACGCATAGCAATTTCGCACAGGCTACATGCGGTTGGTTATAGAATGATGCCAGTGCTTAGAACAAGGAATCCTAGCTCAAGTACAAGCTTTTTCATGTACTAGGCTTGTGACCATGGGCAATTCACTGTTCTGGGCCACAGTTTTCTCATCTGTAAAATGGGGGCAATGACCCCTACACATTAGCAAGGTGATGGAATATTAAAGGAACTAGTTTAAGATTATCATAAACCATGATGCACTTTACAAATAGAAGGTAGGATTATGATATGCTTCTATTTACTTCCTCTCTATTCCCCACTTTTTTTTTTTTTTTTTTTTTTTTTTTTTTTGCAAGACACCTCTGTCAGACCAACCTGCCAAGACCTCCTGCCCCTGGCAACTTTCTGGGACTCTTTTCCATCAGCACATTTTCTCCAGTATCAGATTGCTCTTACCCAGGTCTGAATTCTTTTCATCATCGTTTGTTCAAGGCTTGGTTCTCAAAGGTTGTGATGTTTTGAATTGTTTTGCAAAAGAAGAACAATCAGGGATTCCGAACAATCCCTGGGAAAGAGGAGAAACTCAGGAAAGGTGGGAGGGAAGTGGGCTTTGAAATAGTAATTAGGGAGGTAGAGAAGTACTAGGTTAGATGTCAAATGTACTGGTGGACACATATAAAATCAAACGGACACACTTTTTAAAATGTCAAAGTTGATGATGTTTGATTGTTTCTTTTTTAAAATTACGTAAAGTTCCCTCTTTTTGCCATACAGTTCCAGGAATTTTGACACTTGCCGCCACCACCACACTCTGAACAGAGTCCGTCAGTCCAAAAGGAGTCCCTCTTGCTGCTCTTTAGAGTCTCCTCCTCCCCTGACCCTTAACCCCTGCCAACCACTGAGCTGTTCTCTGTTGCTACCAGAATTTTAAAATGGGAAATGAAAATTTCCAAACCAGTTGGTAAACGTGGTTTCCTTCCTGTGTCAGCATTGCCCTTGCTCTGGCTTTTTGTTGTGTTGTAGCTCGTAGTAATAAAGTTCAAAGAAGAGCTATTGTTTTCTAAGCATCCGTATCATTGTTTTGGCAAATGCTCTCCTGTTTGCGTGCCAGAAGAAGGTCCTGGGGGTGGGGATATATTGTGTTTGCAAAAATGAACAAGATCGCATAGAAAGGCCATTTTCAGCACAGAATTGCAACCCTGGTATAAAATTAGAATTGCTTCTCAAGGAGAAACAGCCTTTATTAAAGTAAGTACAAATTCTTTCAGGAGAATCCCAGGTTTGATATAACTTCTAATTAAGTTTCTCAAAAGCTGGAGGTCATTTATTCTTCCCTCTGTCTGCCATCTAGCAGCAGGGCTCAGAGTCTCGCATTCACTGAGACCTTGCTTTGAATTCTAATTCCAATTTGAGTTTTTATACATAATTTTGGTTCATTCCATGAGTTTTCTAAAATTATTTGTTTGAATATCATCAATATCTACCTTTTCCTCTCTCTCCACTCTCTCTATGGAAATCTCTCTGGATATGGCTATTAAGGAGTTTGAGCTATCTCGTCTCAATAGTGGATTGCAGTTAGTATTTTAGAACCAAATTAAACAAAATGAATTCCCTAAACAAATTAAATTCCAATATGCATTCATTTCTTATCCTGACTGGAGATAAAAAGGTGATAAAATGAACCTTCCAAAAATGATTCTAACAGCAATATTAGGAAAAAGAGGTGAGCTTTTTACTGTGCATCTGGATAGTGAAAGGCCAAATACTGTGAAGTTTTAACCAACTTTGAAATTCCAACCAGAGTTTCCTTTGGCATCCAAACTAAAAGCAGACTATATAATACAGAACAGGCATTTGTGGGAGACAAAAATCACTCTGCTTTTTTTTCTTTTTTTTCTGGTGGCATGACATTCCAGAGGCAAGGGAGCCCACATGCGTATTCAGAATTCCCAAAAGCAAATTTTCAAAAGTTAACAAGTTAATTCCACATACCTTCACCTTTTTTGACCTAATGTGCATTTTGTTTCTGCTAGAACTGAACCAATGGAAATATTTATTTGGCCTAGCCGAGTAGAGAGGTTTCGTATGCACTTTGTATGCATTTATGCCTTCTTCTTTAACCGTGTGTTTATTGGCTGCAAATTTCACTTGACTGCACAAAATGCATTCACAGTTGATAACTCTGAAATGTAACAGCAAATGTGTTTATGGGAGGCCATCTTCTGGCTACTTAAACTGGCTGACACCCCACGTATAATGTCTGATTATAGAACATTGTGGGAAAGGAGCTAGCTCTTTAGGTCCTACAGATATCCGCAATTACTCTTAGAGGCCTATACAGGAAATAATAAAAACAAACATTGATATACATGCTTTTGTTTTTAGTTAGCCATATTGATAAACAGATCTTAATTATTTTGTACTGCCTGAAAGCATATGGGAATTAGTATGATCTTATGTTTTCCGAATAGTGCACTATAATGGCATAATCTATGCTTAAAAATGGAAAACAGCTTTGAATTTAGGGAAGGAAGTGTACCAGAGTCAGAGAATGAGGTAGACAGAGTGCAGAATCTGAGAGGTGGTATCCTGCTTCCAACCAGAAATACTAACCACTTCTCTAAATAATGGGTTTAAACTCCTCAAATAGTCTTAGAATTTTAGAACCGGAAGTGAGATGATGGGATCTAGTTCTTCACATTTGAAGAAACGGAACCCCCACTGATTTAAGTACTTGTTCCAAGTCACACACGGAGCTAGTGAGTAGAGTTGAAAGAAGAACCAGGGGGTCACTCCCTACTTAGTAACTTCCTCTGACTGTCCAAGCAGAGAAGGACCTCCTGACCCTGCTCATGGCCAGGTCTCTCAGAGGAGAGTCCCAGGGGCCCCTGATGGTTCTTCCTCATGAGTTTAATGAACCCTGTTGGATTCCCAAGAGATAATTTCCAAGCAGATACCCTCTTCATAAACAAAGCCAATCTTTCCAATGACCTGTGGGAGTTAATGATCATAGTCAATCATTCCAGCTCTTTAAGATTTCATGAATACCAGCCTTCCTTTGACCCCATAGCTATCATATTAATTATAATATCATATAATATGTAACATATAATAATATCATAATAGCTATAATAATATAATGCAGTGAAAGTACCTTTCTTTTCTTTTCTTTTTTTTTAAAGATTTTATTTATTTGACAGAGAGAGACACAGCGAGAGCAGGAACACAAGCAGGGGGAGTGCGAGAGGGAGAAGCAGGCTTCTCGCGGAGCAGGGAGCTCAATGCGGGGCTCGATCCCAGGACCCTGGGATCATGACCTGAGCCGAAGGCAGATGCTTAATGACTGAGCCACCCAGGCACCGAAAGTACCTTTATTTTCACTATTTTACTGCGATTACCTGGCATTCACTGAGCATTCATTATGTTCTAGGTATTTTGCTTTATGCTTTTTTTTATTTAACTCTCACAACAAATTAAGATAATAAGCACTTGTGCTGGTCATTGATGTCAGATCCATTTCTGGTCCTTCTCCTGTTCTGTTCAGTATTACAGGGGGCTGAATCCTGCAAGTTACATCACTCACGCTTTTTGCCAACTAGTTTTCACAGAGCTTTAGTAAAGGGGGAAACTGGCAAAGATGAGAGGGTGGGAAGAGGGAAGATGCTGGGTATTTCTGTTCATTTCCTTTGGTTTCAGGCAGCATGGCTAAGAGTAGCTATGTCCCCTCTGTTGTTTTAGTTCTTACTAAGTAGGCCAGGCGCCAGAGCTTTGGTAGCACATGTCCTCCCTTTATCCTGTCAGCCCTATAGGTGGTGGGAGCTTCCTGATGGGTTGCCTCACCATCTTTGTTTGCCCTTTCGGCCCTTCCAAGACCTTTCCAATTGGTTGCCGGTATTAAAAATTCCCTCTGAACTACCTGACATGGATTCTGCCATTTGGACTGAAACCTGGCTAATAGAACATTATTGTCCTCACCCTATAAATGAAGAAACTCAAGGTTAGAGAAATCTGTCTCACACCAGAGACATTACTATGGACTAGATACTGTGCTAAACATTTTATACACATTATTTCATTTAATCCTCACAAAACTATTATAAGGGGGATATTATTATTCCTATTTCACAGATTGAAAAATGAGGCTCAAGGAACATAAATAACCTGCCCAATGTCATACTATAGCTGGTAATAATGCTATATGTCTTGTTTTTAATGGCATAGTTGTTTCAATTGCTCTTTATTAGCATGGAGTTTATAATGATTTTGTTTTGGGACGCCTGGGTCTGCCTTCAGCTCAGGTCATGAGGATCAAGTCCCGCATTGGACTCTTTGCTCAGCATGGAGCCTGCTTTTCTTCTGCCCCTCCCCCGCCCTGTGCGCACACGTGCGCTCTCTCTCTCTCTCCCTCTGACAAATAAATAAAATCTTTCATAAGAAACTATACACTTTCTATGGCCCACAGTATTTGAAAAAAAAAATAACACTCAAAGTCATTTATCAGAGGAAAATGAAAATTAAAAACTACAAAGAAAAACTGCCATATACTGCCAGAAGGCATAAAACAAAAGTGACTGGCAATACCAAGAATTGATGAGAATGTAGAACAGCTAATATCTTTATACTGTGCCCGTGAGTATGGACATTTGCAAAGCTTTTTTGCAATATCTTCTAAAGCTAAATATTTGTTTATTCTATGACATAATTTCACTCATGGTAACAAAGATGAGTGCATCAAAAGACATGTGTAAGAGTGTTTCCACCAGGTTTAGTTATAATAGTCCCAAACAGGAATAGCCTTAATGTCCATTAAAGAAAAACCAATTAAACAATTATACATTAGGGGCACCTGGGGAGCTCAATCTGTTGAGCATCTGACTATTGGTTTTGATTCAGGTCATGATCTCATGGGTCATGAGATGGAGCCCCAAGTGGGGCTCCATGCTCAGTGGGGAATCTGCTTGAGATTCTCTCCCTCTGCCTCTCCCCTCATTCCATGCACACAGGCATGTGCATTCATTCTCTCTCTCTTAAAATAAATAAATAGATCTTCTAAAAAATTATACATTATAATAATATCCAGCAATAAAAAAATAATTAACTGCTGATGCCCCTTCCCTCCAAAAAAGTTGTGGCAAATTTCAAAAACGTTATGAAGAGAAAAGATCCAGACACAAAAGAATACATTCTGTATAGCCCTTATATATGAAGTTTAATAACAAGAAAAACTAATCTATGGGGATGAAAATCAGAATGATGGTTATATGTGTTGGGGAGATGGTATTATTGATTGCAGATACGAATTAGTCTTCTAGGATGTTTACATATATAAAACTTCCTCAAGCTGTACACTTGAAATATGTATACTTTATTATATGTAAATTATGCTTTGATTTTTTTTTTTAAGTACTATTTAGGACCCATGGACATGTGTATCTTTTTAGTCTCTGGATCATGCACAAGCAAGGCTTCCCAGATGGAAGATTATTCTAACCCAGCATATACTTGAACACATGCGTCTGTACCAAATGCCGGAGTAGTCTGCTTACCATTACCACTCCCTTTATATAAAAAAATTCTCTTACATGAATCCTTTACCTTCACAGATCCCTAATTCAACATTAGATCTCCCCTTAGAGTCAGTGAGACAGTAATTGAGATGATCTGTATTATGGATTCAGGCAAAGCTTGTTTGATGAATTGTATTCTTTTATGTCTGTTTTTGTTCTCATAACTGTGCAGTTCCCGATAATATATCAGGTTCCAAATATTTACCAACTTCTATCTTTGGAAGAAGATCTAGACCTTTCCAGATGAATTTTTAAATATTTGAATTATTAAATAGGAACCCTCTATTTCTTCTTTGTCTTGTCTCATTACTTATTCTTCTCATAAATATTTCTTATAAGTTGTGATCTCTAGAATATCATCGGTTGCTCTTCTACAGTTCTTAACATTGTCTACCCACCCCACCTCTTACCTCTCAACTAATTAGTCCCCAAATATTTCTTCTGCATTATTTCATTGGGTTTGTCTCTTCTTTTACTGGGTATTTTGGACCTTTTTAAATTTTTTTTCTGTTCTAAGTTAATTAAAACAAAATTATTATAGATTGTAATTTATTTATTTATCAGAGAGAGAGCACAAAACAGGGGTTGCCACAGACAGAGGGAGAAGCTGGCTCCCCGCTGAGCAAGGAGCCTGATGCAGGACTCAGTCCCAGGACCTGGGATCATGATCTGAGCTGAAGG